TTTTAATACAGTTAAAATAGCGCTTCTAAAATTTAAAAGTGGATTACTCTTATGTATGAAATATACGCCATGTCCCTCAAGAATAGTGTCTTTTTTTAGAAGCTAACGTTTATTTCTTCTTTCAAATCCAAATCTTTTTTAGCTAAAGAATAATGACACTGTTTTGCGTATTACTTATCTCCACATTTATTTATTTCCCAGCTGATATGAAATCTTTTATAAAAATTTAAATTTAAATTATCAACATGTAACAATTTTTCTGTACTGCCGTTTGTAATTTTTCCTAAGCATTGACTGCGCCTTACTTCAAAATCAGTTCACATTCTCTTTTTAACCTCAGAATTGGTTGTGTTATTGCTGTGTTGGGGATTTGATTTGCCAGTTACTGTGCAGATACTGATGGTTGGGAATTTGTATTTGCAAATCATGGATATAAAATGTAAAGATTGCTCTGTATGAGCATCATGGTACAAAATATGAGTTATCTATCCTATTTTATAACCATAATGAGATGATGATGATGATGGTTTAAAATTAATCTCCCTCTTTTTAAATGAGGTTAATAACTGTAATAACCAACGTTTATTGAACATTTACTTTCCCCTTTGGATGATCCTGAAATGGGGGTAATCTAAGATGTCAGTGAGAGTCAGAAGCATCTGATTTCAGAGATATTTGTGAAAAAGTGTGCATCCTGGAATTTGTGAAGGACAGTATTGTGAGAGAATTTGCCAGACAAAAATAGTGACAAATGTACAGTACATTATATATGGGAGATTATATGATTCCTTTTAATATGTTTTTGTGTATGTTGGACCTGAGAAAAGCGAAGAACACATTTGTCAGACTTTCTTTGAGTTTGGGTTGCACATTTAACGTGGCTCTCCCACCAAGCATATGAACCAGGCCCAAGGTGGAGTAAGAAGGAATCAGGCCTATAGTCGTAGAAACCCTCGTTTTCCCAGTGGCAGCAGTGACAGGGCCCCAGCATCTGGCACTAGCTGTGGGTGTTGGGAGGTAAGACACAGGGCACTGCTCCAGCCGAGGTGGTTCCTGGAATCTGCAGTTGGGGCAGTGGATCCCTTGTTCAGTTCCTTGTCTTCTTGATTGTAGCAGAGGTAGAAAGTGAGTGGGCTAGTTCTTGGTGGGGGGTAATCTGGCACCTACTCACAATTTTGTAAGCACCCACCTCCCTCTTTCTGCTTTCTGCTTAAACTAGCTACAATAGTTTCTGTATTTGCTACTGAATTCTAAAAGATACACTATCTCTTTTTCTTTGTGATCTGTGTTTTAAGGTATTTCTTCCGTTTATTTTTTTCTGGACACTAATCATTAACCTACATAATTGTTTTTGTTTTCATTTTTATTTTTATTTTATGTAATAGTTTTTGGTTGCCTAGAGGTTTTAGGTGTTAATGGAATCTCCTTAAGGGCTATTGTTATTGTTTGTGAAACTCATGGTCTTCTCTAGTCTGGTAATTATATTTTGCTAGGAGCCCCCATGAATTATTCCGCATTGTCTTCCTTCCTCCAGTTGTTTGGTCCCCCTTAGGTGTGGTGTTCTGTTCCTTTGTTTTGCCCACTCAGGGTTCTGTCGACCCTGGGTGGTCGGGACAGGCTAGTGGTGAGGACAGCACTTTGCTCTGGTAAACCTGCAATTGACAGCAAATCATCTGTCCTCTCTCAGTGCCCTGGGAAACCCCTGCTCTACCAGTCTCTCGGTGTTAGCCTTCCTTCCCTGCTGTCTGTAGCTCCCCAACGTTTGCCTGGCCTGGAAGATTTAGCATGCCTCCCAAGGCTACAGGCATTCAGAGGTGTCGCTCTTCCTCCGGGGAATCCACAGTTTTGCTAATGTCTTCAACAACCCAATCAGACAGACCGGCTCTTCAGGCTTTCAGAGCTGCCTGGTGTTTTACTGGAGAACCTAAGTGGGGAGTAGCAGAGAGACAGTTTCATGCATCCTCATCTATTTTAACCATTTAACACCATCACTGAAAAATATCCAACAAATAAAAATAGGCTGATGGGAAGCCTGATTTCAGTAAGGACTGGGTTCATTTGCATGAATCAGGAACCTGACTAGTGTTTATTATCCTCAGATTAGACTATTAGACTGTTCTTGTATGTAGTAGTCTCTGCTGAAGGCAGGCAAGTAGGAGTGCCTTCACCAGCCTCAGGGAAGAGAGTAAGTGGCTGAGGATATTGTAATTTTCAGCTACTTTGGCCATTAGCTGAAGGATCCTGAAATACCTACCTTCTTATTTGATGAGTGCCTCATCCCACTGTGTTCCCACCTTCTTTTCCTTAGGCCTTCTGCTCTGACTTCTTCCAATGCCTTTGCTGCCTGTGTGTGTGTGTGTGTGTGTGTGTGTGTGTGTGAGAGAGAGAGAGAGAGAGAGAGAGAGAGAGAGAGAGAGAGAGAAGCTGTCAGTTGTTGATAGGAATCCCCACGGAGAAAAAATGCTCCATGAGAATTACCCTGATATATGGTGTGCGTGAGATGGAAGTTCTTAACCTTTTGAAACTACTCAGTACCAGCTGAGGAAATCAGGAGGACTCTGGGTAGTATCTGTGGCACAGACTTCTAATTTCTCCCACTACCACTCTCCTGCTTACTTTTAGTAATAAAAACCTGACGATTTCAGCTTAGCACGTGACTGCCCAGCCAGAGGTTGCATTTCCCACCTCATCTTGTGGTTATCCATGGCCATATGCTATGTTTCTGGCATGTGATTTAAGGGGAAGTGATGTACTGGTCTTACTTTTTTAAAAACTAGAGTGGTTGGCCTTCAGTTTGTCCTTCCCCTTTCCACTGACTAGGATGTGGAAGGGGTGACGATGAACCAGCCTTGACCGTGCAGATGAAGACAACATCCTGGGTGAGTGATGGTAGGACAGCATAACTGAATGAACCTGTGTCCTTGATGGCCTTGCGGAACAGAGCTTCCCCTCTGTCTTGAACCACCCGTCGGCCTTTATGGCAGGGGTTGGCAAATTTTTTTCAGTAAAGAGATAATAATATTTCAGGCTTTACAGGCCACATGTTGTCCCTTTCACACATTCTTTGTTTTTTAAACAACCATTTAAATTTGTAAAAAAATCTTTCCTAGCTTAAGGGCCAATGCAAAAACAGGCTGGACACTGAATTTGTCCCAAAGACTATAATTTGCCAACCCTTGCTTAAGATTGTTGCATAGGAGAAAGACAACTTTTTTTTTTTTTTGGAGTTATTGAATTTTAAGATCTTTTGTAAAGGAGTCTATCTGTATGGCATTTGTATCTATGTAGTTAATGATTTAAGAAAATATACTCTAGAATAGATTTGCTGCAGAGAGGGATGGCTACCAGGGCTATCGCGTGTGGTTGTGCACATTGTGCACTGCACAACCCAAAAAGATGACATTTATTTTTAGATATAAATTTATATATTTGTTACAACATTTAGGGTAGATGGCAGTAAATCATTTTGTTTTAAGGATATAAGAATACAATGATAATTTTCAGCATATGGAACTAAAAAGTATATTTAGGAAGACATTTTTTTCTAATTTGAACAAGGGTGTCTGTGGCCTAGTAATAGACACCCCTAGTGGTTAATTCTTTGACCTCTATTGCCTAAGGTTAACACATTTCTTATTAAGTAAGGTCAATTTAAAAATAATGAATATCTTCCCTTAAAAATATTCCTTGCTCAGGAAACTGGCTTCATGTCAGGTTTCATTAAAAATTATAAATTTTAGGTTCCACAATGTTTTCTGTCACATATGCCTTTTTAAAAATAAACAAATGTGCTAAAAAAATAGTCAACTATTTAAATGGAAGGATTTGGACAAGATTCCATTTTAACCTTTTCTCTAGGACTAATAACCCATTAGTTTGTGAACAATTGAAATTTTTGTTAAGATTTTTGCTATTATAGAGATTTTCTTATGTTGTCCCGGGTGTGGTGAAGTAGCATGGCAGCATTGGGCACGCTGTCATTGCTTGCTTTCTATCATTCCATCCACAAAGGTGGTTAGTCTACAAGTGTGCACTTGGACAGTGTGTGATTGCTATACTTGTTTGCCTGCTCCCCCACACCTGATGGCAAAAAGTAAAATGAGAGCGGAGTGTAAACATATAAAGGATCCTAAGTCTGGATCTAGTGAACATTTGCCATTCTTTTGGATTTCTTGGTACCTTTGAACAATTTTCTCTGTTAGGGTATTCCCACCTTATGAATTCCTTCTCACTTTCAATACCAGTCATTTCCCCTACCTCCTTTTGCGGGCCAGGGTGGCATGTGACTTAGACTTGGCTCATTAGAGCCACTGACAACAGACTTTGGATTGGAAGCTGGTGACCCAAAACAGGTGGCACCTGGCAGAATCCCTGTGATGGAGGTAATGGGAGCTAATGCCAATTTCCATGGAAGCAGTGGAAGAGGCTGCAGTGTCCATATCAATAATACAAGCCATGGGGTTTGTGCCTACTGGGAAAAGAGGCAGCCAGTTGTGAGGTTTGATTCTAGACATGGTTCTGGTTGCATGGCCTCCAAATCTCTGACTTCTCTGGAAAATGATACAATCACCTAATAACCTCCAGTATATTCCTTTTCTATTTCAATGAGCTGAGTTGGTTTGTATGATTTGCCACTAACAACCTCTACTTATAAACTAGGTCATAGCCCAAAACAAATGATGATCTCTTGGGAACTGAGTTTCTCATTTCTGGAATTGACACAGATGTCAGTAACAGAACGCAAATAACTGTAGACTGTTTTCCTTTTCCTGATGAGTTCACTTTAAGTAGCCTTACCTATTTCACATTCCAATGAGAGACTCACAGAAAAATCTCCAGAAAGGGTCTGAGATTCCAGGTCCTTCAATAATAAATGTTTTTCTTTTTTACATCTCATGGATTATTAATATGTTTTGACTACTGAAGGAAAGCATGTCAAGATCACTGTGTCCTTTCCTAGATGACTGGCTGTTTAATTGAGAATGAATGCATGCCCAATCTCTTGGCTAAGTGCCTTTATTTAGTATGATTGCTTGTTTGCAGTAGTTGATAATTCAGTTTTCTGTAAGTAGGTCAGGAAAATCTTGTCCTTTTGTATCCCAAGTAAGCCAAAAGTTGTAACTGGACTTTTCCTGGAGCACGTCATTTCTGCCTTACAGAAAATATGTCATAGGCCAAGATACTCTCTCTGTTTCCTGGAACGAGTCTTGGTAGTCCATGTAGGGTGAGAAATAGCCAGCTGCCTCCATCACTGTGTGAGCAATAACTTTGTGACAGCTCAATTGAATAATTAAAGCTTTCTACCTTCAGGTGGGAAAAAAAAGTAATATCTAGAAATTGTTGTGCATTGCATTTGATAAGGAATAATGGGCATTTGAAAACTATTTGGCTAGTCTCTATCTTTTGGTGTCCTGAAAAGTCTGTCTTATTAAATTAAAACAAATTTTAAATATAACCTAACTTAGAAAGGAGAGATAGTCTCAAATTGGGCAGACTCTAAGATGTTGACACATTACATTTTTGTCAAACTCTAACTCAGGAGTTCATTTTACCCTGCATAGTCCATGTGATTCAGAGAAACCCCCTGTCTTGTTCTGATTAGTCTAAGCTGATGCTTCTGCTTTAGCATTTGCCAGTCAGAATCACCTGGAGGGCTTGTTAAGGCACAGATTGCCTGGTCACACCCCTAGAGTTTCAGATGCAAAAGAATTTGCATTTCTAAAAAGTTCTCAGAAGATACTGATGCTGGTGGAGGGCCCACACTTTGAGAAGCACTAGTCTAAGTTGGTTCTGTTCTTTGTAGTCGTTCAGGAACCTGAGATAGACCCACCAAAACCTGGCATTCTCCTGGCAATGGTTATTGATCTAGGTGAGGACTACTGACCTAGTTCCTGGGTCTGTTGAGGGGAAAGATTAATATGCTGTGACTGGAAGAGCTCACCACACACTCCTGCTGGAGCCATTTAGCAAGCCTGTAACTTCACCTGCTACTGAAAACTATCTCTGACTCTGAGGGAATCCAGCTTTGGCATGACTACAGTGTTACGAATGTCAGAGCAGGCTGAATGTCAGAGCAGGCCAAAAACCTGGGACTCCCCATTATGTGAGATGATAAATACTCATATTGATAAACGTCTCTGAGCAGGGGTTTCTTTCCAGCCCTTGAAAACACCCTAATTGAAAGAGTGTTTTCCAGGGGCACCTGGGTGGCTCAGTCAGTTGAGCATCTGACCTTGGCTCAGGTCATGATCTTGCAGTCCGTGAGTTCAAGCCCTGTGTTGGGCTCGGTGCTGACAGCTCAGAGCCTGGAGCCTGCTTTGGATTCTGTGTCTGCCTCTCTCTCTGCCCCTCCCCTGCTCATGTTCTGTCTCTCTCTCTCCTTCAAAAACAAATAAATATTAAAAAAAAAAGTGTTATCCAGGAGAAATGTCTCTATACATGCAGTTAATTTTGAGGCAGTTTGAAGGAATTTGAGGAGTGGATAAGTAGAAAGTTCCATGAATGTTCTTTGGTTGAATGCCTTGGATTGGCTTTTATCTACCTTTATCTCAGATACATAGAAAACTGAAGGTTGTTCTCTCTTTCTTTAAGAGGCAATGCTTGAATTTCAGTTTAGAGAGGTGGCAGTGAGGGATAAAAATAGGAAGGAGAAGGAGAAAGAGAAATCCAGACAGAGTAATGAGTGATAAACCGGGAGTCAGATCATAACAAACCCTGCATGTCAAGTTCAGGAACTTGAACTTTGGTCCTCCATGGTGAAGTCAACAAAGGCTTCTAAATATGGTAATGACAAATTTCTCTGGTGGTACTGTGGAATGGATTGAAAGGGATAGACATTGCAGACATAAAAACTCCCAGGAGGCTGAGGGAATAATCCAGGTGAGAAGTTTCGAGGGCATGAGGTAGGCAGCAGCTTTGAAAATAGAGAGAAACTCACGGTTATGAGAGATAAAGGTCTCTGTAAAGAACCATTGGGATGTGGGAGTGGGAGAGGAAGGGAGAAGAGTCCCGCAGGTCTGCTGTGGGTTTGTTGTGTATGTAGTGCCAGGATAGGACAGAGAAAAATAAAAGCATAAAGGTCACCCTCGACACCCTGCTTCCCCATGTGTCATGTCTGCTCTTGCACCCAGTCCCTCACACCTCAGCTTTCCTCCATTTCTGCTGCTGCTAACCATCGACTCTCTGAGGTGGGCTTCTGTTATATCCCCCTCGTTAGTTTCCTCTCCTCCACTCTGATCACCCTCCAGATTGTTCTCCAGAGTGATATTTTCCAAATAAAATTTCACCTCAGTCATGTTCTGCTTGGAACCGTTCAAAGGATTTCTGTGATTCTCCGGGCAAAGACAAGGGCTTTGGGGCTCTCTATGACCAAGGCATCCAAGCACATTAGTCTTTGTTCAACTGTTCAACCAATCTTTGCACATGGTGTCCTCCATTTGCTCGATTAATTCCAATTGATCCATCAAATCTTATTTCAAGCTTGAATTCCTTAGGAAGTCATCGTTCCTGACTGTGGGACAAATTCCTTTACAACAAAGAGCTATACCCCATTCTTCACATAACTTACATGAGTTTGTAATTACTTACTTTGCTTATTTGATTTGTGTGCCTTCCTCTCTTGACTTCCAACTTCTTGAGAGAAAGATCTGATCTTGTTCACCCTGTGTCTTCCACATTTAACACAGTCCCTGCCACATAATTGGAGCTCAATAAATATTTGTTGGATGAAAGAGTGATTCATTTTGCGAGCAAGAGTGTGAGTTTTCTTTTGGATGTTAGAGACTGGGATGCTTGCAGGAAACCAGAAATAGTGCCTAGCAGCTAGTTTTACAAGAGGACAGGTTTAAAATATCAAAAATGAAGTTGATAATACTCAGTTGAATATTGGAAATTTGCTTCATGGCTTTGCTCACAAATGACCAGTTAGCAGTGTTAGCCTAATTCGCCAATGAGATTTTTTTTTTTTACTGAAGTAATGAAAACAAGATTAACTGAATATTTTATTTAAAAACATGCTAATAACGTTGTCAGATATTTCATACTTCTTAAATGTAAAATTTAAGTTTAAACACTGTACTTCTGTCATTGAAATGTTTAAAAATGATGAGAAAGTGTCCTATTTTCAAAGAATTGCATAAGTGATTTCAAAATGTGAAAGCCAAAGACTAAAGAAGAAAAAAATAACCTTATCCTCTCTACTAGAAGTTATTAGTGCAATGATAGGGAGAACTTCAAATGAGTTAATTTCTTCTATTCCATTAAGTTTAGTGTGGTTTTAAGAAGCATCAAGGAGATGATGAGGATGCCAAAAATCAAGAGAATGATTACCACAGGATAAAAGCATCATGAAAAAGGACATTTTCCTGTGTGCTCATGTAATATTCATAAGAAATTAGAAAGTCAGAGAGAAAATGTTATTTAACATTACTGACAATGGATATAAAAGAGTTGTCAACATTTGAAATCTTTAAAAGTGATTTTATGAAAAAAAATGTTTTGTTTTGTTTTGTTTTGTGGAACTCATTGCTTGCACAACACAAGGAGCACTAAAAAAGTTGGCAATGGATGAGGGCATACTCAAGTAAATTAAGAAAAATAGTGCTGATGCATTGTCAACAGTTAATCATCAAGGATTTTAGTGAAATTTCCACAAGTGAGTGAATGTCATTTTAGCAATGCATTTTGCAAGTGAAAAAGAAATAATATTCTCACATATGAGGTGTGTGCTATTGATTAGTATCAAAATAGTTAACTGTCTGATACAGTGGAATGGCTAGTGATGAAATAGTACAGAAGACATAACTAATATATGGAAATCCCATCACATGATAAAGTATATATTCAGTCAAATTCTTAAAAAATTTTGGAGATCATAACCTTTGCTAAACAATGGGGAATAGAAGATGGATCGGGAAAAAAACAGACCATGTAGAGAAGTTATGTGGTAGATCTCTAAGGACTAAGATATTAAAACTTAACAAGTAACTAAAAAGTTTTTAAAGTCAATATGTAATTTTAACAACATAGATCCATGTAATTCTGCCTTAAAAATGTACATACTTACAAGATGTCAACTCTATATAATATTTTTATTGGAGTATAATTGACATACAATATTATATTAGTTTCAGGTGTACAACATAGTAATTTGACATTTATATACATTATGAAATGATCACCAAATAAATCTCTTACCATCTGTCACCATATATGGTTATTATAATATTATTGACTATATTCCCTATGCTGCACATTATATCTTCATGACTTATTTTTTTTATAACTGTAAATTTGTACCTCTTGATTCCCTTTACCTATTTCATTTACCCCTCCACCTCCCTCCCCTTTGGGAACCAACAGTTTTCTCTTCTCTGTATTTATGAGTCTGTTTCTGTTTTGCTTGTTTGTTTTGTTTTTTAGATTCTACATAAAAGTGAAATCATATGGTATTTGTCTTTAACTTATTTCATTTAGCATAAGACCTTCTAGGTTCTACATGTTGTCACAAATGGCAAGATTTCATTCTTGTTAACGGCTGAGTAATATTCTGCTGTGTGTGTGTGTGTGTGTGTGTGTGTGTGTGTGTGTGCGTGTGTGCACACGTGTGTATGTATCCCACATATTCTTTATCCATTTGTCTTTCAATGGACTCATAGGTTGCTTCCATATCTTAGCTACTGTAAATAATACTGCAGTTAACAGAGGAGTACATATATCTTTTCAGATTAGTGTTTTTGTTTTCTTTGGTTCATCCGTTTCACCCAGAACTGGAATTGTTCGATCATATGGTAGTACTGTTTTGAGGAACTTCCATACTATTTTCCATAGTGGCTGTACCATTTTACATCCTTACCACAGTGCATGAACATTCCCTTTTCTCCACATCTTTGACAATGCTTATTGTTTTTATTTTAGTGGCCATGATACATGTATTTTTTGAAGCCTACAAAATGCACAGTGAAAATATAGGGCTTAGGGGGGAAATAGACTACTCCCAACCTATGGAACTTTGTAATGAAAGCAATAACTAAAACAGTTATAATCCTAGTAACCAACAGAAGCCCAAAGACCTCTTTTTTAGCATTGGCCCCAGAATCCCCCATAATCAAACATTTGCAACATTACACTCTGGTGCCCTTGACTTTTCTTTTGAGAGGTGTGAACTTTAGGGCTTTTGCTTTTAATAGCAATTTCATCAAAACTAAAAAACTGGTTCACAATATAGCTTTCTCATTAAGTTTTTAAAATAGCATGGAAAATGTCTTTGTAGCATATTTTATGCCTGTAGCTTCACCAGGTAGCCAGTGAAAAGGGTTCTGATCCTTGAAGCCAGTAAATGAGCCACTATTTACACCAAAGGAAGGCCCTGCTGTGGAGTTTGCAGTTTTTATCGTGAATCTTCATATTGTGCTAAAGTTTGTCTTTTTAAAAATCTGTTTTTATTTATTTTAAGAGAGAGAAAGCACACATGAGCAGGGGAAGGGCAGAGAGAGAGAGGGAGAGAGAATCTCAAGCAGAGTCCTCGTTGTCAGCACAGATCCTGATGTGGGGCTTCATCTCACGAGCCTGTGAGACCATGACCTGAGCTCAAATCAAGAGTTGGCTGCTTAACTGACTGAAGCACCCAGGTGCCCCATGCTAAAGTTTATCTTTAATTGTGAGAAATTAATTGTAAAATACATGTGTGAGCCAGCACCACTTCCTTGTCATACTGTCACCATTCTCCATGGTCTACCTGATATGAGATAATGCACATTAAGGAATACAAGTTGTAGCAGGACAGGTTGGTGTTTTCAATTGGTTTTATTACTTTTTTCATAATTGCACTGCTTTACTGAAAGTCTTTTCAATTATAGTATGTGGTTATTAATGCTGTAAAAAGTAATTTGATTTCTTTCCAAACAAGTGATTATAAAGTCTATATTAGGTGCAAATTCTTATATAATGATAATAGTATGCTTTGGCCTCAAGATTGTTAAACTTTCCTGCCAATATTGGCCAGCATTTTGAATGCTGGTTTCAAATGAGTTTATTATGCTATTGAGTTGTTTAAATTTTTTATTAAGTTTTTTATTTTAATTCCAGTAAACTACAGTGTTAACTACAGTGTTGTATTCGATTCAAGTGTACAATATAGTGATTCACCAGTTGTTTTCATCACTCAGTGCTCACCATGATTGTGAACTCTTTAATCCCCACAACTTATTTCACCCCCCCCTCCTGCCCCCCTCTAGTAAACATCAGTTTGTTCTTTATAGTTAAGAGTCTGTTTCTGGATTCCTCTCTCTTTCTCCCTTTTTTCCCCTTTGTTTCTTAAATTCCACACATGAGTAAAATCATGGTATTTGTCTTTCTCTATTTTACTTATATGCTATTAGGTTTTTAAATTTCATATAGATCTTCAAATCTAATCACCTTAGTTATTATAATCCAAATGAGAGTGATAGATTTCTAAAACAGTGTCTTAAAGCCAATGTTTAGCTAAATACTGCAAAGAGGAACACTAAAAATCCTCAGTGAACACTTTTAAAATAAATTACAGTCTTGTGGTCTTCCCTTTCCAACCTTTAATGTGATTGGTGTCATTTTTTTGCAGTTTAAGAAAGAACTCATTTAATTTTCAAATATATCTGAAAAGTACACATCCTATCATGAGATTATAATATAAATTTTCATTTTTAATGGATTGAAAAGATTAATAATAATACCAAATAGTAAACAAGGTATTTTTAAACAGCATTCTTTGGAGAGCCATCTTACTCCTATATTCAAAAGTTCCCTTAGCTATTACAGCCAAGAGGTAGTTCAGCAGACTAGAGTTGTGTTTTTCAAACAGTGGGTTCCAACACTTGGTAGGTTCTGAAGTCATTTCAGTGGCTTCAAAACAATTTATTTTTAAAAAAGAAACTGGATAACTTGTTAATAGCATAGAAAACATCAGAGAGCATCTTTCTTAGTAAAGGTAATCTTTTAAAAATTAAGTATTATGTATGTATGTGTCTGGGTATATTTCCTACAGTGGGTCATGGTCAGAAATTTTATTGACCTAGAGGATACTGTGTATAGAACCACGGATAGAAATCAGATTACCTAGAGAAAGAGGAGACCTAATCAGAGAACTTACTGATGATATATCTGGTGAAATGAGGATTCTCAGCTGTCTGGTTAGAGACTTAGACCCCCAAGGCCCAGGTCATGACCTCCATATCTGTGGGAGCTGAGTTGAGACCACCTTCTCTTGAGATTTCCCACTATAATTTGCACCAATGAGGATATTAATGCAAAGTCATATGACACCTGTGCTACTACGCAGTAATGAAAATACTCTCACTAAACCTCAGTTTAAAAATGGTTTGTTGGGGCACCTGGTTTGCTCAGTCAGTTAAGTGTCTGACTCTTGATTTCACCTCAGGTCATGATCTCATGAGTTCAAGCCCTGTATTGGGGCTCTGCATCTACTGCATGAACCTGCTTTGGATTCTGTGTCTCCCTCTCTCTCTGCCCCTCTCCTGCTCATGCTCTCTCTCTCAAAAATAAATAAACATTAGAATAAATAAATAAATAAATAAATAAATAAAAATGGTTTGTTAATTTACAGTCTTATCTAACAAGGAGCCTATTCAGTATCCTTGATTTACGAAGTCATCAAAATATTAAAATGTCAACATCCAAGGAAATTACCAGTGACATA